CAAACCCGGGACAGGACAATGGGCTCCTGCAAAGGCACCTTCTGTGGCCTACCCAGCACCCATTCTCTATGGGCCTTCTCTAGCAGCACTTCCTCTTGGCTGGGGGCGGGGGAATAGATGTGAAGGATGGGAACAACCAAAGAGAAATTTGGCTTCAAGGTTGCCCCCTTCCGTGGGAGCCATTTGAAGGGGAACAGGCCCCCCTCCCTCCTGGCGTGGGAGGCCACATACAAGATGTCATTCAGGTAGCCAGTGTCATAGAACCAGGATTCCATGCAGAAGCAAACTGCCAAACTGCACAGCTGTTGCATGCTTGCTGCTCTACAGGTATCACACGCACAGCTGTGGTAATGAATGAGTCTAGACAACACAGCCCTTGGGAACAACCTTGCAAAAATGCATCATGCACTGGCTGACTGCCTAGGATTAACCTTCTGCTTTTCAAAACCCCACCCGTGCTCCCTATAAATATTTTCTCCCTTTGCCATTACCACAGAGAGGTTTGTGTTAAAATGAAATAACAAGAAAACTGACCTGTCCCAGAGCTTTTACCATGAAGAAGAGTGCCGTCATCAGTGTTGCCAACATGGTGAGGGAGGCAAAATGTCCCCTGCAGGAAGCCAGCTGGTCTCTGGACTAGCCGGCACTCGGGCGCACCAAACGAGCAAGCGATGATGCCGAAGGACCTAATGAGCTTAGGCAGAAGGCCTGTCCGACACACAACCGGCCGTCCTGCAGAACGTCTAATCTCCAGCACTTGCACTCAGGGAATGCCACGTTCCCATCTCCTCCTCACTCTCAGAGGGATTAGGAGGAAAGGGGGGAGGGGGGGCTCCTCTTGCTTTTCTGGGGATTACGTACTGAACAAGGGCCTGGTTGCACTTCCACTTAAAATGCTGAAGAGGAAAAAGCTGGCACAGAGATTATCTACCGCCATTGGAAAGCCATAAATGCATACATTTACGTTATGTCCTTTAGGCATTCCTGAAGGGATCTGACCTGGCAGTGACACATACCTTAGTTACATCACATCTGGATTATCCTAACACACTCTATGTGGACCTGCCTGTGGAGAGTGCTCAGAAACTTCAGTGGGTCCAAAGGCGCTTGGTGGGGACACAGGACAGCAGGGCCTTCTCTGTGGCTGCTCCCAGACTCTGGAACTTCCTCCCAAAGGAGGCCAGCCTGGCCCCCTCTTGGCTGACCTTTCTGTACAGGCAAGCTTTCCCTGAGTGACTGAGGGTCTAGAAAACAAGAGACTGGATGTTTTATATTTTGTTGCTTCTCAATCTGTCTTTTTAATACAACATCTGTAGTGTATTGACATTTTAAATACAATGTTATTAATTCTTCTTTAATATTTGAATAATTTACTGTTTTTAGTTTTTAATATTGTGTTTTCAAGTAGGTAAGCCACCCTGGGTTCTTTTAAGAAGAAAGGAAGGGCAAAAAATATTGTAAATACATACATACATGCATATGTACGTACGTACATATATTATACATACATATATTAGCTGACAAATGACCTCTGCCTTGATGGAAGATGGATGTAGCCAAACAGAAAAGAGGAGGAGGCTGATACTTGGGCCGAGGCCTGCAGACCGGATGAGGGAGAGAGAGAGAGAGAGCAACTGCCCCTCTGATTCTCCGGCATGAACCAGAGTACCAGGATGGCAAGGAGGGGGTGCAAACATCCACAGAGACCGTGGGAAAGAATACATTTAATCTGTAGGCAAAATACAAAAACTACAGCCAACCTCTTACTAAAAGGCAAACTTTATATGTCACAAGTTCAAAAATACTGATTCCCTTCTGTTGTCCCTTCCAGTTGTGCCACACCAAGGCCCAGCTCAGCAGCGCTGGGAGAGCAACAGGTAAGTGACAGAGAACAAAAAGCACAGAGGATGATGAGCAGCACAGCCACCTGAGGGGAGGCTCTCCATCCACGGCCAGAAAAGCCAGAGCAACGTGCCACCCCAAAAAGAGGGCAGGCAGAGTAACCAGCAGGATGGCTGGGGGGGGCGGGGGGAGAAGCCAAAACCATTTCAGCAACCACAGCCTCCTCCCGTTTGCTGGAGGATGGAAGGGCACGGGTGGCAATCCCTCCCTGCTTTACCCCTCAGTTCAACAACTGAGCATCTTAGGCTTAAGGATGCCAGAGGCAGCAACAGCTCCACCAAGACTGCCTACGACCAAGACTTTGCCCAACTGCCTCCTGCGGCTTCTTGGAAAAGCAGCCTAATCCAAGCTCGGGGAGAAGCATCCAACTCCTAATTAAGGCTGGAGGATCCGGCATGCGGCAAGAACTTCATTGTCTGTGCTCCCGGTTTCCTCCTCCTGCCCAGCACCATTTCGGCTCTAGGCACCCACTATGCCACCAAAGGCACTGCCACCGAACCATGAACTACTAATCTGGAAGCATCGCACGAGGTGTTGGCTCTAGAGCACCACCATGAGAGAACAGAAACCCACTGCTCTTCCCCACACCCCACAAGAGTTCAGGCGGAGGCCAGGCGTGAGGTTCCCAAGGGCCCGCCCACACTCTCAGGCCCCTGGCTCTGGAAAGAGGCGACCCCCCCCCTCCTCCCAGCCACTCCGAGACTCTTCTGAGAACTCACTGCCTTGCCTTGAGAGGCAAGTGAATGAACTCCTCGGGGGGGGGGCAGCGGGAAGCTAAGAAAGAGGGGACTGATTATGCATGCCTTGATCTATGGATGCCTCACGGACTTCACCAAATTTGCTTTGGGAGATTGAGGCCATGTGCTCCAAGAAAGCATCTGTGGAAGCTTCTGGGTACAGGAACAACACTCTATATTTTCACTCCCTGAGAGAACCCTGAGATGTTGCAGTTTGGCCTTCTCGGCAGGCGCGGAAGCTAGAACCGGTAGACCTTGATTTGGTTGTTCTCATCCAGCCCCAACTGCAGTAAGCCGGTGCCGCTGGCCGAAGACCTTGGGGTGCTTGGCAAGAGATGTCTGGTGGGGACGTGAAGGAAAAGGCAAAAATGGAGACAAGAAGGGAAAAAGCAGGAGGCAGATCTCAAGAGTGTGGATGGAGCCCAGCTCCCATGAAATCAGGCGATGTGTTCCAGAAGCACTGGGGCAGGGAGGCTGCCACCAAACCTTCCAGGAAAAGGGAGCTCAAAAGGTACTTAAAAGCAGCCCATCAAATACACAGTGTGTTTGCATTTCAAATATCCCTGAAGGGGGGAGGGGGGGGAAGGAAAGGAAAGGAAAGCCCAAGCTGCCTCTCACTCAGATACGAGGAGAGCCAAATCGACTGAGGATGGCCACAAGGCCATCCATGCCCATTCAAGTCTGTCAAACAGTCGAAGGGTTGAAGCAACATGTTGCTTCCCCAAATGACAGCTCATAGGGAGGGATTAAGTTCTGCCCTTCCTGAACACTGTGCTGTGGCGGCTGCTGGCACCCCTCCAGCTCTTCTTCTTGTATCAGCTGTGCACATGGCTGGCCTATAGAAGAGGCCCAGCCTCTGCAGTCACATAGCCTTGTGGGCAGACAAGGTCTTCCTTGCCTCCAGAAGGGAAAAACTCAAGATTCTCCAGCTCTGCCCCACTCAGGCCCTTGTAGGGAACTTGCTAAATTCTGGGGGGTGGCTGCATTCTCTAGCCTGTTGGTCAGCTCTGTCGGCAGACAAAGGCAAGTAAAAGATACACACTGGGATCCTGCTTGATTTCTTCCAACCACTTCTTGGCATCAAGCATGCCCTGGATAGTCTGCGGGCGCTGGAACAGTGGAAAGTGTTCCCTGTTAAGAAGACGGGGTGGGGGGAGGGAAATCAGCCAGAACAGCTCTTGGTGTAAACCACATGAAAAGGCAGTGCAGGGGTTACATGGGGGGAGGGGAGGGGAGTGGAGAGGAGGGGGGTCCTAGAGCCCAGCCTTTAAGCTGCAGCCCTGCACCTCGACCAGGAGACAGAAGGAAAGCCATTTTCAAAGCCACAAGTGTGTGGTTCTGATGAAAGGACAGCACAGCCCTATGGAGAGGGCAGGCCAAGTTCAACATATCCCAAGAGGCCGAGGGAGCAAAGGCCTTTTCTACAGAGCAATGCCACCTGCTCTGGAGTAGACCACCTGCACCTCCACCCCATCCCCAAGCTCTACTGACTAGCCTGGTGGTCAGCCAGAGACTGTGCAAAGGTGTCTTACTTACCCAGAGGCCATGAATCCCAGCCTGCCATCTGTTGCGCTAGGACTTCCGCAGAGCAAGGGCAACCCACCTGGAATAGAAGAGAGTGCTCCTTTTTAGTAGCTGTGCCAGTGTTAAACCATGACATCTTCGGTGAATCTGCAGGAATGACAAGCCACCCTTTTTTCATTCTGAAATTACCCCCTAGCTTTTCTTATGATCTGCTGTTTGTCCCCGACCCTCTCAAAATATCCCAGGCGGGGGAGGGGGGCTCAGTTCTCCACAGAGGCAGCATAGCCTGTGGGTAAGAGAGTCCAGTTTTAAGCCTCAAGCTTCCTCATGGAGATGACTTAAAATTCCTCCATGTTTTATAAGCAAAGGACTTTCCTCCTATTTGTTCCCCAGAGGGCATCAAGTTAATTAACTATTTTGTATGTTTTAAAAAACTAGGGGGCGAGGGATTATGGACAGACTAATACAGGTGGGGTGCGGACTGCCCACAACCGCATGTTATCCACCCCATTGTTCAAAGCACAGAAGAGGAAAGTCAAAGCAAAAAGAGACAGCTAGAGCA